TATAAGTAGGATATTCCTAATTAAAGTTTGATAGATTTACTGTACATGTCTAATTTTTAAATGTCTCTGGTAATAAAATACAACATGAATGTAGGAAATTAGCACTGTGGAATGTACTGTGCTGTACATGTGGATTTGGGGATTGCAATTTGATACAGGCATAAAAATGTAGGAATTATATACATTACTTACGGGAATAAAAAAACACACAGTAGCTGAACAAAGACTTTGGTCCAGATTCTGCAGTCTTTAGTCAGGCAACTTTCCCATTGTTGTTAATGAGAATTTTATCTAAGGACTACAGTATTGGGCTTTCGGGGTAATTGGGTATACACAAATGTGCTACAGAATACAGTGTTATCTTATATGCAGTTCAGTTTAAAAAAATTACCTGGACATCAAAATATGTCACTTGGATTAAATTGACTATGTGCCAGAGTTCAGACTTCAAATATGGACACAAGGGTTTCCCTCATTTGACTATATTAATCCAAGGACAGATGGAATGCTTTAGAACAGTATTCGACACTGCTGCATGTACACATGGACTGGTTTTGATTCTTACATGTAGTAGAGAGAAAAGCACAGTGGAGCAAAGAATCATTAGGCACTATTGGTAATTTTGTGACCGTGGAGCGTTCAGAGCAATTATACAAGAGAATAATCAACGAATGTGGAACACCAGTCTTGTACTGATGTGACACCCTGGTATATTGTAGAAAGAGACATATTTTAATTGTATAACCCAGCTTCCCAAACATTTACTGACTTGACATTTGTTAGTGGAACGTATTGGTCAGATCATTAGATTTCCTCCCTGCATTGTCCCCATTTCGGACTTTTAGAACCCACCCCACTGCACACTGACTGAGTATTGAATTGAGCTAACAAAAATCCAAGCAGGTGAATAGTGTTTTCAAGTGAAGGAGGGCTGCATTATGTCATTTTCTCATTTATATTATGTGAAAAACAGTCACCTCAGAGTACAGCTTTAAATTAAGAAGATTGCTATGACAGATTCAGGTGTATAGGTTCCCCTCTCCCCCAGTCCTTGGCAACTGTGATCCTGAGCAATCAATTTCCTTTCTCTATCTTAATTTGCCCCTTATACATCATATTCAAGATTTTATCTGGACAGGGGCTAGGTGGCTCAGTGGATAAACCTCTGCCTTTTCACCTCTGGGATCATGGTTCAAGTCAAATCCTGATGAAATGCGTTTGATCGTCCTAATCTAGTTCTTAGTGGACAGCATTCCCATTATCTTTAAAAGGGTCAGAGCCAAGGCCATTGGGAAGAGTGCATTGTGCTATATCTTGTCTGTTGATTAATACATTTTCAGTGATGCCAGTTCCTTAACTTCATGAGCACACATATTCACACAAAAAAGCTGAATAAAGGTCCCTAGTGGATTAAACTTCTCTCTCTTTCCCTCTCACACTCACAAATCCTTTTAGGTTTCCCTGGAAATATTTTAAAAAATCAGCAATTGCTGATCATTTTGAAAAGATTAACATCTGCATTAAGAAAAAAAATCTCAAATTAATTAGCTCAATAATTACTTTAAATCCTTGTTTGACATATGGAGAACACAATCATGAGAATTTATAACTAGAACCATTTTTATAACACATTCTAGTTCTCTTCTCTTATGTACGTTAGTTAATCTAAAAAGACTTTTGGATCGAAGGGATTAAGCCCCAAGAAAGATATCTTTTGTTGTAGACAAGACAGGAGGCCAGATAGCTAGATGAAGTACTTGTTATAGGAATTTATTCTCCATTCTCTGGAAATTGTTATTTGGGATCTGCTGGAAGAAGTGGGTATTTGACAGTCGATGTGAACAAAACAAAACAAAAACAACACAGCCATAGCCTTCATTTTGTCTTATCCCATCAAAAAGGTACAGTAAGAAGAAATATATAAACATTTCCCTTTCATGGTGTCTGATGGCCAAAGGTTATTGGGCTTTTCCTTGACCTAGAGAAGGGAGTCAGCAGATCTGCTGCCACAGACTGCTGCATGAAACATGTGAAAGCATTTGAAAAGTGGCAGGGCAGAAATAATGTTACGCCACCTGGAAATCCTAAAATCAGCTGGGGTCTGTTTTGGACCCAAACACAAATGCTGGGAAGAACAATTCCGTATGAATCATTCAGCTGGCCTAGGATCACCAGACTGCATTGCACTCTGGTCCTATCCCTACCTGCCCCTAGCGTGCCCCTGATATATCTGTGATGCAGGAAGTAGACAGTGTAAAGGCAGCCAAGGATTCCCCCAAGCTGCAGCGGTCTTCAGCTGTCTGCCTAAGGCAGCCTTAAATCTCCTTTGTGCCTCTGGAGTAGTGCAAAGATGACTTATCTCTAGGAAGGATTGAGTCCTAGGTCCCAAAAGACCAGAGTAGACAGAGGAAGAAGCACAGACAGTCTTTTCATGAAGATGCAGCAAGAAAGGAGGACAAATGTTATACCCATATAGTCATAACACAGTTTCTACAAGCAGTACACGAGATACTCAACGACATCAACAAAAGCCTGAAGTCAATGGCCAAACTATCCTCTAGCTGCAGTGGAAGCAGGATCCGCCTCAAAGCTGTTAGGATAATGAGTTGATTGAAAACTCCTATAGTACAGTAATGGTCAAATTCATGAGGACAAAATATGATTTTCCTGCTGATATAGTCCATGAATATAGTTTATGTGAGATATATGAATATATGAACCATTTTTCATTTTTGAGAGTGGTTATAGATTATAAAATATTTTTAATGATTTAATCATTCTCCTACAGTCATTAATAGTTTTTACATTCCTGCTATATATTTATTTAATTGGCTACTGAACTGGCAGCATTTAATTAATGGTTCCTTTGCACAAATCAATAACAATTATGATTTTTTCTGGTTAAATAATTAATTATCCTTGAATTGTTTTTCTTTCCAACGTTTTTCAAGTTAACAGGAAATTCCTGAACATGAGCTATCTTGTAGCAAATAATTAGTTATATCCTGAATTAGTTAGTACAAATTATTTTAAGTAGTTTGAAAATATTTGGAAAAAGTGTGGATTTATTTAAAACACTCTGAATTATGACATTCACCCGAAGATATGATAATATGATATTGTTTATGCCTATCATTGTAAAATTGGCAAATCCAAATGTACAGCTAAGGTGGCTGACTTTTCCACACATAATAGTGCAATGCCAGGAATGTTGGACCTGATTGTAGATCCTGCTCCAGTGGTGCAGAGAGGTCATGAAACTGGCTTAATGAGCCAGCTGAGGATTTCCCCCACAGTATAAGCCCTCTGCTATTTGGGTGCGTTGGGAGCATAACCAGAAAGGGAGAGTGGCCGGAACACCACAGAACTCTAACAATCCTCAGCTAGTGTAGTGTCCCCTGGGAGGCTCTTACTCGCTGGCACAAGTTAGAATAGCCCTGAGGCTTTTCAGACTTGTTCTTGGAGCTGAACTGGTCCCAGGCCAGCCTCTGGATCAGGAGGACATACCGGTATTGTACAGGAGAACTTGGCTGGACCTGAGGACCAGTGTTTCTAAGCTCTTCTATCTCAAAGATACTACTTTTAGATGCCCACTTAAACTCACTATGTTTGGGAATTAATGTGACAATCAGAGCCAAGTTCAGCCTCATGTGAGTCATGCATTCCATCCTTCCCATTATTTTCTTTGTAACACTCACCACTGTAGCACTTAGGCACTGTAGCTCCATTGTAGTCAATGGAGTTATACCAGAGTTGAACTGGGTCCTTGAAGTACATTACAACGCTAAGGTAGATTTCACTTGATGTTCTATGATAATTTTGCATTAGTTAGAGATTTGACATGAATTTTCTCTTTTCTATCTTACTACATACCTTAGTAAAGTTGCTATCTGCACTGATCTTTTTAAAACAGAATGATATAGAGGGGTCTTCACTTACTCATTGTACATGCCATTTTGTGGAGGAAACAGGGACAGTTGCTGAAGTTTGGAAAATATTAGACCTGAAATATTTCAGACTGGAAGCGACAGTATTTCTGCTGAACTGATAATTTGTATCTGTTTTAGATTTTTCATAAACATGATAACCATTTCTACATCTATCTTAAGAATTCTTTTTGTTGATTAAAGTGTAAAAAAGACGGAATAACTGTGTGTGGACAATGATAAAGTAGGCTGTTTATAATAAATATTTGTCATGTCTTGTCACATCTGCACAAATTCCACTGTTACTGAAGAGACACCACACTGATAAAAAAGAGCTCAGAAAATCAATGGATCTTGAGCTAAAGCAGTTGCTAAACACACAGAAAACATCTTTATCCAACAGCCATAGTGCTGTGAAAATTCCCAAGCCTTGCATCGGTATAGCTAAGGAAAATTTAATCTTCCCAAATACTCATCAGGGCACTCCATCCTGCAGACCTGACAGCCCCACTTATAATTAATTATACAATTTCGATGGGAATATCGACTAAACAAAGCTATAAATCATAGAAAAAGTCAATAGGCATGGACACATTCAATCATGTCCCGACCAATGATTACTACTCTTAAAATACAATAATTATTTTCAGGAGCCAGCTTGAATTAAATTTCTGTCAGGCTGGTACAAGACCGCTGGTTGATGAAGGATGCGATGGATTTTTTTGGTTGAATTCGGTATAGGAACATTTATCCTTTTAGATAGGTAGTTTGTTTTTAGTGATCATGGTGCTGCGTGTTTAACTAGACCATGAAGATTAGATTATCTCCAATGGCTCATTATATCGTTTATCTTTTTCCTTCCATGCTTGATCTGGAAGATTTCCTGCTTCTTGGTGTGTGAACGAAATGGCAGCTGATTTTGAAATGTAATATGTTAAAGTATCATGTCTGCATATGAGTTTGCATACAAGTATGTGTGTATGGGCATGTGATTCATGTATGGGAAATCGTCCAAACTGTCATTTGAAATGCCACTGGTATATTATGAATTGCAATAAAGAGGAGTGACTTTGTTCAGCAGATAAAGCTGTACTGAAAGAAGAATAAAATTATAAGCTTTCAAGTTGATATTAAAAAAGTTAAGAGAAATAAAACAGATAAATGTAGAGGGACAAGTTCTCATTTCTCTTGTTTATCTGTCAAATGGAATTGGAAATGGTACGGAATTTTTAGTGAGATAATATAAAGAAAGGCTCTGTCAAAGCATAGATTGGACCAAAAGTTTCAAAACGAGAAAAATATCGGTATGTGAAGATAGTCAATATCAATTTTCCATCCACCGTAATATATTTAGACCTCAAAAAAGGTAACTTACCCATGGTTTTTTGAGCTATTTTGTCCAAGTGGGTCCCACTTCCAATCTCATGTGCCCACCATAAATGTAGTAATGTAAAAAACGACTTATTTTTAAAATGTTGCATAGCCACAAACTTACCGCAGTGCCATTGTTGTCTCTAAAAACATCTTGATTAAAATAGTCAAAGAGCTTCTTTTCTAACTGTAACATAACCTGAGAAAGTAAAGCAGAAAAAAAAAAATCAGGGAAGAACTTCTGGCCTACGTGGTCATATGAGTTAGGCAGTCAGTCATTCTCAACTATAGAACTTCAGCCCTTTAAAAATCAAGTAAATTTCTAGATCGCTAAATCTCTCTCCTTATCAATCAGTCCATTTGGTTCACTGGCAAACAGCTAACAAGATTAAACAAACAGTTCTGAAGAGTGTGGACATCTATATTCTCCCCCTAAATGATGATGTGTAAGTCTAATTTTTGCAGGGCTACGTAAAGTGCCTGTCAGGAAAGAATACAACCTACCAAAAACTCACTTGCATCACAAATCATACAATAATTCACACCTAAGAGCTCAATCTTGCAAGATGATGCTCATCACCCTAAAGGATCAGGTGCTAAGTTATCTTAGCCTACATTTTGTAACTAAATTTTTGGAGCTAAATTCATCCCTGATAAGTGACTTCCAGAAATTACAGCCAGAGATAAATTTTGCCTTTGATGTTTGCAAATCTGAAAAGGAGATGTTCAACAATCTTCTCTGATATGTCTGTATTCGGTTACATACCTTTCGGTCATTATCAGATTCACGGAATATTAGCTTGACTACTTCATTGGTGTCAGCTGCTCGGATAGTCTGCATTGTAGCCTTTGTACAAAGTGTCTAATAAAAAAGAAAGCAAGAGAGAGAGAGTTTTATCAGAAAGATGAACCCCCATTTTGTAGCCTTCTCAATCAATAAACATTAAGGGCTTGATCCAATGCTCAGTGAAAAGTGTGTTTTTGCTGAAAGTCAATTTTAAATACAAAACACAATTAATTTAATGTATCTCCATTCACTAAAAATCTAACTAATGAGCTACATTAATGTTCTGACACAAACTGACAAAACCAAGAAAATTCTTTCTTAAAGCAAACATTAACTTCTTAACTCATTGTACTGTGCATTTTTACTTTAAAAGGTTTGACCGTATTACATGATCCCACTTCAGACATTACTTGTGACCATCCTCAACAGCCATTCCTGCTAGCCCAGCAGCCCCCAAATTTTGTTTCTTCACATACCACTTCCTTAAAAAATTGTAAAGTGAATGGATGGAACTTCAAGCTCATATACAAACAGTAATACATGTAGCAATTTAAGAACCCCGGACAATCTATTGTAAAAGTTTCATGCTCAAATGTGGTTTCAATCTATAAACATAAACCAACAAAACTTTTATAACTTTGCAATTGGCTGCAGGGGCTAAGTCTATTGGAGAAGCAAATCCTCTTGTATGACCACCCTTCCCAACAAGTGACGGCACTGTACTCCTAAATATTTTGTGGGTCTCAGGGCTTTGGGATAAAATATATTGTAATTTAACACTTATCTAGGTTCAACAGTATGAATTCCAGACAGAGTGTCAGATTTGTCTTTGATTTCTCGTCCATTTGTCTGGTTATAGACTAGCTTTAATGTTACAGAACGCTTTGTATTAATTAGCTTTAGGTATGCCTATTGTGAAAGGGACTTCTCTGTTGCATTCAATTACAGATGGAAATCTGGAGGATTCAGCAAAGCACTTAAACATATGTTTAAATTTAAGCATATGCTTAAGCCCTATTGAAGTTAAGCAAATGGGTAAGCTTTGATAAACAGGACAGATTGCTGAATTTGGGCCCAGATATGATGCAGGGTTAGGAGAGCTGACGGGAAATGTCTTCTTGCATAGAGATTTATTTTGTTAGCACTTCCTAACTGAATAGTGCACAAGACAGGAATTAAAGTAAGAACAAAGAAGGTGGGGATTTACTTGCAGTTCATTTTTATTCTTTTTCATGCTGGCCAGAAAACTAGTTTTGGTTTTGCATAATATTTAATAATAAAATAAATATTTCTGCTTCTATAGTTACTAAGGCTCCTATATCTGAGGCTCTAAAAGCATTTTACAATCCTTAGTGAATGTATTCTCATAATACCCCTGTGAGTTACAAATGTATCATTATCCCATTTTACAGATGGGGAAACTGAAGCTAAGACCAAATTCAGATGTGGCATAACATCTGTTTAAGCCACATAGGAATCTGATATAAACAGGATTTCACCAATATCAGAACAGAATTTGCCTCTTATTATCTTGGCCAAAGTCACCTGGAAAGTCTCTAGCAGAGTCTGAAATAGAATCCAGTTTATCTTTAGCCACAAAACCATCAATTCCATTTATCATTTTACTTTTTGCTTCTTTCCTTCCTGAAAAAATACATATGTTGGACTTATTTTAGAAATGCACTGTGTATCAGAAAGACTGTAATGGGATTTTTAGCATATTTGCAAAAACACTTATTAATTTATTTTTAAGAAGATGCTGAACATCTGCAGTGACTGCTCTTCTCAACAAATGTACTTCCTAACAAAAATAACCAAACACATCCTTGAATATCTAAAGATTTATTTATTTATTTTTACTCTTTATAAAGCACCTAGCACAACGAGGCCATGATCTTTGACTGGAGCCCTTACATGCTACCATAATACTGATAAATAATAATAATAACAAGCCATAAAAATTCATTTTTAAACGATGACGACTTCTGAGTGTATCACAAGAAAAATATAGCACAAATAAATCTGATCTTTCTCTTCAGTCCTATGAACTTAAACATTGCTAATTGATTTCCCCTTCTCATTTTGCTAAAAATATTTCCTCCTGAACTTCTTCCTCTGGATATTAATTTTTCACCCTTCATAAATGTTACTACACTAAATTATAAATCCCTGGCAAGAGGGACTCATAATGCAAATTCTGGCACAATCATTATCTAGAGCAGCACAAACACTGCTGTTGGAATGTTTGAAAAACACAAATTTCACTAGAGGAAAAAAAATCTGTGCTTATAGTAACACAAAATACCCTCGAAAATGGTGTTTGTGGTCACAATTTTTCAGACCATTTTTGTTCAGTGGATCAGGCTTCTGCGAACACAGGGAAGAAGTTATAACTAAACTGGTAAAGGTCATGCTGAAAGGACGGTGAAAGAGTGGCATGCCAAATCCTTCGGGGAGCTGCAGTTTTGATTTCATTTAATTTTTTAACATAGACCTAATCACTTTTTCCACACATCACCACAATTTACCTTAGATCCCATTTTGTCTCTTTTGACAAGTAATTAACATTTTGCCATCTGTGTCTGTATGCAGTTACCAATGAGGTAATCCAACAGTGAGCCATTCCCAAAGTGCACTCCCTCTGATAGCAGCCATTGAAATTCAAAGCACAGATTAGCTAATCGGGTCAAGCCCAAAAAAATAGCCCTTTGGACTCATGTGTCACAAATCAGTCTGGTTGCCTTTAAACAGCGCACCAGATTAGAACAAGCACCCGAACAAACCAAAGCGGAAAACCCGCCGCTCTCTAAAGCTGGTTTCTAAAGCCCTAACAAATCGCTCCATCTTTCACTCATTTAAACTTTCCAAATGAGGGTCAATATGGTCCCCTAGCATCCAAATGCTAATGCGCTTAAGTGCGCTTAAGCAGCTTTCCGGAGTGAATGGGCCAAAGAAGGGCTCAAAAAGACAAGGCAGAGTTACTGTCACTGTCAAAAAGTCATTGTAGCCACCCCCAGAGTGGTTGCAATTCAAGAAATTCATGATTTCTGTCTCTTAAAGGCATCTGCTTGAGAACATTTTTTTCTGAGCTGCTTTATCTCACAACTTCAGGCTGCTCTAAAAGAATAAAAATCTGATCGACTCTTGAGAACCAATAAAGGGAAAGGACCCACATACCTTATTGCTTTCAAATTTCACACACACAAAAAGTTACCTTATTTGCAAACAAAAAGTGATTGGGCAAAGGTTCATTTCTTATACAAGCTGGAGCATTCCTTTTTTCCTCTCCTTTCAATTTCTACAAAGTCGTAGTCACCCAAGCAGAAAACTTTCAGGAACATGTGCCTTTTTAGCCAAGTCTACTTATGAAGGGATTTTTTGTTGTGGTTAAAAAAATCAAAATGCTATGAAAACATGCTGTTTTTTTCAATGTTCTACGGTTCTTTAAAGGAATCTTTTTAGATGATGGGAAACCAGATAGCAAAAAGCCTCTATCCAGTTTTCTTCTTTTTCTTCTTTAATTTCAGGCACTTGTTTTTCTTTTGCAAGTTAAATATTGCTACAGTGCTTGCAGGAGAGTTGCCACTCAGTCTTCATCCTTCAGCTAGGATACAGACATACTTTTTTCCAATTTTACTTGGATTATCCACACAGGTAGACTCCTGTAGGTTCTTCAAAGTAACATATAAAAAATACTTGTGACATTCATCTATATAGAGCTGTAAAACACAGCTATAACTTTTCTGATGTAATCAATTTACTCAGAATTTACTGTATTTTACCACTATGCAAAGTTATAAAGTTACTTCTGTATGCCATTGCTCTGCAGTCTTCAGGAAATGAATCTTCTTTTCATTTGCAGAATAAATGCAACCTTTACAATTCTTCTGCTTAACTTCATACTGCAGTGCATTAAAATATTTTACAGTATTCTGCAGTGCCAAATAAAACTATTCTGTCAGCAACAGAATAGACACATATGCATATTGAAACATGGCAACCCTTCACTGAATATACAGAAAATACCATAAACCAGTAAATCGTACCATTTTTTCCTCATTAGTGTAACCCTCTGCTGAAAACTGCAATAGTCTTTTCTCATTTATTTTGTAAATCTATTCTCTGGTCACCTTCTAGAGTTCTATGTCAAACTCCGATATGTGATTTGTGTCTTTTATTGCATGCCTGTACTTACTTAAATTAAAAAGATTTTGAAAAAATGCTATGTCCAACACGTATGGATTCAAACTTTCCTATTATCTCTGCTTAAGAATCTAAATATGTGTATTACTTTTCCCATGTGATTTAAATAATCTTCTTAGGAAACTTTGTTTTATTACTTATTAATTCTTCTAAAATAAAATAATTGGAACGTTTTCAGTGTCTCGTTATAATGAAAAAGTTCCAGCAACAACTGCAACTATAATTCATAATAAGTTTCAGTAATTTCCAAGGAACCTTCATGGGTTTAGCAAAAGTGTTTCTTTTTAGAAATAGCAAGGCACAGAAGAGAAAAAGGGCTAAGACACTGAACCAAATAACATACCAGTAACCAAATAATCTTTTAAGATGCTAAATTTTATTTCAGTTAAATCTCTTGTAGATTTTGACAGGATGTAAGAGAGATACATAGCTCATCTCAATTAGGAAACAAATACTTTTAGCCACTTTTCCTGAAACAGCTCTTGAAAAAAAATCTGCCTGACATTTATTGAATTAGGACAACCAAATGCTTTTTTATTATCATAGGAGGCAAATTGTATTTGAAACAATTTGAGAGCTAGAGGACTTGCTACTTCAGGAGTACAGAAACATCTGTCTTGTTCAGGCTGTTTCTGATCTGTGAAGGTCTGATTCTGATCTCACTTATATTGGTGTACATCAGGAGTAATTTCACTGAACTCAGTGGAGTAAAAGAGATCAGATTCAGACCCTGAGTGTTTACTGGAGAAAGCCAGAGTTTGATCTAGCTTTTTTCACCAGTCAGTGATACACAATTAAAACTTTTGGATATGAGCTTATGTTTAATCAACATTTTAGTGTTTTAATTTTTGTACACACACCATTCTAATAGA